ATATATATATATATATCGGTATTTACACGCCGTCAGTTTCGTTATTGCACGGGTCGTTAAACGGGCAAACTTGCGCAAACTTCGCGGGCCCCGTTGAAAGAAAAACTGAAATGTCGGAGATGTTGAAATTTACTTATATACAGATTTTCATAAGGCGTTAAGTGGAAGATACTAATTGTAAAAAGAAGATTTCGCTCGTTGTAGCAGAAATTATTATATCCATCTTGCATAGAAATCATCTTTCTTTATTTGCAGGTAGATTATGTAATGTGATAGTCGAGCAAGTACGTAGGATTTTAGAGTATTTATCGCAAAAGGAATTGAAGGACTTTTTGTACACTTTTTCGTCGTGCGAACAGATTTCGAAAAAAAAATCGATTCCACCTTCCTTCGAAACGGAGATATACGTACACGCTATAATGACTGTTTGCGCCTGGTATACTTCACTCGCAGGGTTATACGATAACTCGGAATCGAAACACCTATATGTTTACCGTGAACTCGAAGGATGAGATGAACAGTGCCAACAGCGAAATATTTGATCTCTCTCGGAAGCCTTGGATTCGAATTGAAATTACAGGGACATACTCTTCTGTTGTATTAATGAAGTGCCGTGAGCAACTTCTGATATCACGTCCGATGAATTCTATACGTGTATTCCACCTCTTCGTTTGTTCGTATCTATCTTTTATCCTCTGTCTACGTATCAACTTGATTTGAAATATTCGACGATCGATCGAATCGGTTTATTTGGCAAAATTTCACCAGACAAATATTCGAAATTTCTTTCTCATTTCAATGAATATTTCGGGACGTGCACGGTGTAATTTTCTAACATTAATTTCCTAAAATTCAGAATTAAGGAAAATGGAGTAGCAAAGTTTTGTAAAACTTCGCTCGCAACTAGTATTTTTCCATAGTAGTTTCAGATTCAATCAAAACTGATCTTGCCGCTTATATAATCTCTTACGCGTACATGTTGATAATATTATTAATGTACACGGTGTACTGATCATTTCGTATGCATACTCTTCAGCACAAAGATCCTCAGCTGTTAAAAGAAACATTTCTTTGAATCGTTCATTTGAATCTTTTTCCCCGAAGGAATGGATTTTAATTTTTACATTAAT